AAAACATTGTCTTTGAGTATGTACTTTACATAGGGGTACTTCAAAAACGTGATTTCACAACCAGCTCAGCCCCACCATGGCTGGGGCTGAGGTGAGAAAATTTGAGGAAATAGTACCTCTCGAAATGGCCGGAAATGACACTTTTATATCATCATCACATTACCATTATAGTCAAAATGAAACGCCAACAAATTTCTCATGATCTTTTATCAGGGATCTACTTAATATCCAGGACAACTTAGGCCTAATTATAGCTTACTTGGCTTTAACTATAGATATTATGATTAACAAATCACAACTTTTTTTCGCATTTAGCACAATTTTCTTCACTTTTTATTGTTATTAATAATAATATGAATTATTACTCTCGTCATCATCATCATTTTTATTATTATTATTATTACTATTAGTAGTAGTATTATTAAACAAACATTTAAAGAAACTTGCAAAAGGATAAAAACAAAATTGAACCACAGTATCGCATTTCTATCATAAAAGACCTGGCCTGAGATTTATGGATTTCAGATTTTTTTAAATCACGCTTAGGCTTATGTGTTCTATTAGGCCTATGTATAACGTGTACTGATGCATATTAACATGTTTAGAAGTATTCATTTTAAGTGATCCCAGGAAAGAATTTGTATTGGCTCAAGAATAAGCTTTAAAATTTTAACACTGTGTACAAAGGTGAGGAGCCGCTGCTCCCACGGCTCCCCCTCTGGAGACGTCCCTGCTCTCACGTAACTCAGGATATTCGTTCGGGTCTTCAGGAGTGTACTGTGGACAAAGGTAGTCATTTCGCACGTACGGAGTACCGAGGACGACGTGAGGCACTGGTTCGGATTTTGAGTAAAAAGCAACAGTATTAGGAGTGTTAAATCGATGGTCAAGCTTAGTGACAATGTATGGGCCTCCTCCGATCGGATGATTTACTCCATAAGCCCCAATAGACGATTCGTATTTCGGTGGTTCTTCGTCAATATTAGGTACATCATAGATGTGATCGCCCTGCCTACTGACTTGAAGTAATTGTCTCGGGTTGTCGTTGTTGGTAAGGCCATGTGTATCTCTAGATTGTTGTAGCCTCCTGCAAAAATAGGTACCAGATAGGCCTTATAGTTATTCTTATAATTCACTTATTCATTTATTTATTCTGTCAAAATCAACAAATCACGAAAATTTTATGAAATTGATAAAAAGCTTTAAACAGATGTCGTAAAAATTGCATAAAATTGAGAACAATTCTCAACTATTATGTACATTGAATAAAAGTGAACGAAATATTGTAATAACAAGTTAAACAAAATATCTGTCTTACAAATTTAAATATAAATACACTGTAAAATACTTTGGAATAAAATATAAGACAATTCAAGAAAATATCACTGTTAAAACTTGAAAAGGTAAAACAACAGAAAGAGTTGATTTGACCTGGATAGCCCAAGAAAACTAATTACACAGGTTTATTTTTGTTGGGTCTTGAAAGAAATATAACTATTCTTATTATTATATTGCTATTATTTTTGTTATTGCTATTATAATTATGGGTATTATTATTGCCATTAATAATGCTATTTATTAGCATTATTACTGCTATTATTTTCATTACCCAGTCAGCCGCAGGCAGACTGGGTTTTGTTTTCTTAGTGTTCTTCCGATTCTTCGTCTGGCAACAATTCCAAACGCTACTAGTGGTTAAACCAAACGTAGCCCAAGAAAGTCTAGAAGAAGATCACTTATAATCCAGTTGGGTCCTTCTGGTGGTGATTGGGCAGTACACCGGGCATGGGCAACGCCATGAATTCCACGACGAGTGGTCCAGCCTCCCCGACAAGTGTGCCCCCCCCCGGGTCAGTTAAGCCTAGCACTTCCCCACCATGGGGAAAAGTGTTGTGTTGATTAATGGTTTTTATTTAAAAAGGGATAATGATAGAACACCAAGCAAAATAAGATTCCCCCAGTCGTGGGTACTAAACATCTGTCGGAGGTACTAACCATCTGTCGGAGGTACCAGCCCATGTCGGGGAAGATCTGGCGCTACCACCGCAACCCATACGATCGCGATACAACACCTCGCACATGTAGCACTGCTCGCAGTAAACAGTTTTTAATTCCTAAAATTTTACAGCTTAGTCAGGCATAACTGACCAACGGATTAAACGTCTCATCCGAAAGACAGTGCGCTATATTGTAACTTCTATTTCAGCCATAAGCTGAAACACAAGGAGAGCAACGACTCGAATTGAACAGAGGACCTACAGTAGATACCTCCACGGTTCAGCGCACACACAGTGGCCACCGCCAGATTAGCCGACTGAGCTAAAAACGCTACTAATGTCAATCACATTAGTGTGGCCACTGTGTCAAATGGAATTTGCCATTGGCGCTGGACTAACATTATGCTACCGATGCTGCGCCTCAAAAAGTGGATATATACACGACTGCCATGGACTTAACTAAGATCTTTGGTACTTAGATGCACGACAGGCGGGGGTATGCAAGCGCTCAAAATAGCGTATTTGGCTAAAATTTGCCATACTCCCTTATCTAATTGGCTTTCTATGTGAGGTGAGAAAATTTTAAAAACAGGCACTTGTAGATACTCGGAAATGGCACTCTCAGACTTTTTTGCAATTCATTTTCCTAAATGTATTGGAAGTTACACTAATTCTAAATTATGCGTATACGTTATAATACGTTTTCATGAAATTATACGTAGCATTAGTGCGGTATGCTACGGGGGTCCAAATTATGCAAGGAAGCATACGGTACCGGTATTATGCTACGAATAGCCACTATGCCCATACATGAAGTATTCACCACTTTGGTCAAAGGTCACACAGGTGTCATTAAGGTAAAAAATCCCCAAAATATTAGAGACTACTTCTGTAACAAATAAAATAGCAGTCTTGCCATTTGCATATTATATGCATTAATTAATATAACATTAATAATTATACCATATTACTTATATGTGTATTGCTTCTTGTATGTGTATTTTGTATATATTATTTGATTTCTCTTGCACACATTAATATATTTAATTTTTTTATTATTTATAATAATTATATATTTTAATATTCAGTGCTGTAATTTTAAATGTTTGCCAGTTTTCGGACGCATTTCCTTCTTTTAATTATTTTTAATTATTTCAGTATTCATTGGCATGAGGGAGGATCTTTATGGTGTTCAAAGATTGGGGTCAAAGATCATTCGTTTTTTGGCATCTATATTTTATAAATTCTTAATTTTCTTTTGAAAATTGTAATGTTTCGGGGTTATATATATATTTATATAGTTACTTTATATAATATTCCGTTATATATTAAACATACGCCTTTGTTTTAGCCACACTCACAGAAGAGGTACGTTAACCTACCTATAATGTTAACTGTGTTCCTTCAACTGTACTTTACTAACTTAATTTGAACGATGAACTCTCACAGTGTGTTGCATTTTGTAGCGTGGTAAGTCCTCGTCCAATATTTTTAATTTATTTTCATTCTTATTCAAATTGACATAAATATGAAATACCATTACAACCGTCATAATCATCATAATTTTCATCATGGTGATCTCCATTATCATCATAGAAACCAAGAATATAATATTTATGCGCTATATAAATCTCCAACCATTACCATCATCACTGTCACTAATACTATTACTATATTACTGTTACTGATACTGTTACTATTATTTATTATCATTACCATCATCATTATTAATATTATTATTATGTTATTGTAATTGTTATTACTATTGTTATTGTTATTGCTATTTTATGTGATTTTACGTAATTCTATAGAAGGACATGAACATAACTGAAATTTAGGCCTACCTCTTTTGCTTTTTACCCAGCAAGATAATGATGACGACCAAGACGACAATACTTAAAGCAAGAGCCCCGAAAGCACCACTGACGATAAGAGTAAACTTACTTCCTAAAGGTTAAATTTTATAAATTTAGACAAACTATTGCTGTTAAATTTCATCTGGTTTGATTAGTATCGGTAAACTTTACTGTGAGGTTTTGTAGATGTTGTAAACATAACTTCGCCAGGGTAGCATCCATGGTTTTGAGCATTGTGTGACAACAACGCCCTCTGGTGCCATCACTTTTCCTTTAGGATTGGTTTTGGGGGCCCTGGTCTATCAGGTTGCAAGAGTTGGTAATATGATGGGGCATGCAATCTTTCCAATAGTATATTAAAACTTCTTCAAATATTTAGCATGTAACAACTACACAATAAACACCAGTTTTAGTGAAGCCCCGAAAAAAAGGACAATTTTGGGGATTTTTTGAATGTTTAATTAATCGATTTTAGAGTCTATTAATAAATACAAAAGGCACATAATATATTTTCCCCGTCACGACGGGTTCCCTGGTTCCCTGTCACTCTGGTGCCACCCCTGGTAAGTATACTGTATACTTATGGATGTGCTGTGTAAGTTTAATGTTATTTTCATATTGTTCTCTACTGTCAAATCCTTAATTAATGTTTGGGATTACCGTATTATATTTAAATAAATACTAATAAATTGCTCACCTGTGGTTTGCGCATGGCTTGTTGAGTTCAAATGTGACGTAGTGGTCATTGTTGGTGTTGCAGTCTCTAATAAAGAAAGAGTGCGCAATTAAAGAGTATTTTTAATGTTTTAATATGACAAATGAAGGATGAGCATAAAAATAGGAATTATTGTACAAAAGGCAAACTAAAAAAAAATTGAACTAATCTTCAAGGGAAAAGAAAATAGTTTACATAATCTTTACTACTACAATTTAAAGAAATCAAAGACGAAGTTTTGTAAAAATTAGTCTATAGCTAAAATGAGCGATTTTTTTTTTTGGAAATAGCGTCTGGCAGCATGTAGAGCCACTACATTTTCTCCTCCAATGGCAGATACAGGATTTAGATACAGTACCATACCTCAGTGCCATAACCCACCTCTGCTCCACCATGGTTGGGGCTGAGGTGATGACATTCAAATAACAAAAGGAAAATTTTCTCTAGTGGCATGGAAGTAGCACATTTTATGCTAGTGTGTATTTTTTTTTTTTTTTTTTTTATTTATTTTATGGACGGGCAGTGGAAGATTTTCCCGACCAGGGGCCCTATCCCCACCGACTGGCGTCACCCCTACTATGTATTTTTTTAAATAATTTTGTTCACTTGTTATAATGTAATGCATATGACAACATACTTGTAGCTATAGGTTGAGCGGACTCATCAAAGGTGTCAATGGCATAGACTGTATTATTAACATTTATACGACCTTCACGACTATCAGAAACCTTGTGTATTGCTTCGATGAATCCTGACTGTTGCCCGTACGATCCAACTAATATTATGAAATCCTAGAAAGAGCCATATGCAAACAATACTAATTATTACCTTCATCAAAATGTTCATTACCTTCAAAAACACCATCTTTATTACAAACATCATCATCATTAATATCATCACCACCACCATCATTCTTATTGTCACCATCATCATTATCATTGTTATCTTTAGCTAACTTCAGAAAAAAGTTGCATGAGCATTAATCTATCAAGTATCAAGTTACTCTCATTGTTATCATTATCATTATCATTATTGTTATTGTTATTATTATTATTATTATTATTATTATTATTATTATTATTATTATTATTTATTATTATTATATTATTATTGTTTTATTATCATATTATATAAATTAACATTTAAAACATTTATTACAATTTTGATGATGTCGAATAATGAAAACCGTGGTAAATATTTGGACGTTAAAGCTGTAAT